AATGCTTTCTTATGGGGAGGTCCAATGTGCATGCGCATTAGGTCTCCCCCGCTGATGTCAGGAGCGTGGGCGGAGCCTGACCCGGCGCCGAGGGACATCCGCGCTGGATTCCGGTAAGTCACTGCAGGGGTTTTAACCCCTTCAGCAACATGGGATGGGGGGTGTGAGGAAGGGGGGCACTGCAAGATTCTGCAGTGCCAAGAAAACAGATTTGTTTTCCTGGCACTGGAGAATCCATTTAATATTTAGCATCCTATATTTTAAGGGCTGACTGCCGACATGCATAGTCCACGCATAGTTCCAATGATTTAATCCTGCCCTAAAGCACTTCTTGCTTTTTTCAGCATTGCCACACCCCAAACAAAATTCTACCTTAGTTTTTAATCCTACCCTGCAGCATCTTTCCTTACGTCACAGTTAACCACAAGAGCATACACACTCATAATACCCCCTAATTACACTGTCTTAACATTGGCATGTCTCATAACACAAAAGATAGACGATCAATTTAGCATAATAATGTATATATGTTTTGTTTTCTTGGAATATTATTAACCCCTTAAGGACACATGACATGTGTGACATGTCATGATTCCCTTTTATTACAGAAGTTTGGTCCTTAAGGGGTTAAAGGACCACTATAGTGCCAGGAAAATATACTCGTTTTCCTGGCACTATAGGGTCTCTAGGTGTCCCCCACACACTCAGGGCCCCCCTCCCGTCAGGCTCTAGGGGGTGGAAGGGGTTAAATCTTACCTTTTTTTCCCCGCCGGGCTCCCTTGGTGGTGGGGACTCTCCTCCTTCTTTTCCCATCATCGGCTGAATGCGCATGCGCGTGCATTCAGCCTGTCCATAGGAAAGCATTCTCAATGCTTTCCTATGAACGCTGGCGTTTTCTCACTGTGAAAATCACAATGAAAAGCGCGGAAGCGCCTCTAGCAGCTGTCAATGAGACAGCCACTATAGGCTGGATTAACCCATATGTAAACATAGCAGTTTCTCTGAAACTGCTATGTTTACAGCAGAAAGGGTTAATTCTAGACGGACCTGGCACCCAAACCACTTCATTAAGCTGAAGTGGTCTCGGTGCCTATAGTGGTCCTTTAAGAAGTATCATAGTAACCGGCACACATCTGACTTTTCCCATCTTGTGTAGGTCTAAGTATTTGTACTGGTTTTTAAAAAAATAGTTGCAAATAAGATCTGTTCTGTCTTTGCCACTAGATGATTAAAGAAACACTCCAAACAATGTTCCCTTTACCTTCAGTGCTGATATATGCACCCCCCATGTTGCACTTTCCTTGCCATTCAGAAAATCAGAAAGTTGCTCTTTCTCAATGTTTTGTGCTATAGCACAAAGCATATGTAAAGGCTTCTCCTAGGGAAGTACTGGGTTTTAATGCTTCTCTATGAGACAGGCTGGGGGATTATCAGTAGTGAAAATGTCCCAGAGGCAAGGAAGTGCTGCGGTGAGGAACTGGATTAAAAGATAATTCATAATGTGCATGTGTAGTAGTTTAAAATGAAAATCCATGGAAGTTCCTGTGAGAATGCAGGATCCTTCATAGATGATTTCACACACATGCCATGAGATAACATATGTATCTACTGCACAAATCAGTCCTCATTTAGCCTTATAGTTAGAAACATAGAAACATAGAAACATAGAATGTGACGGCAGATAAGAACCATTCGGCCCATCTAGTCTGCCCAATTTTCTAAAAACTTTCATTAGTCCCTAGCCTTATCTTATAGTTAGGATAGATCCCATGCATGCTTAAACTCCTTTACTGTGTTAACCTCTACCACTTCAGCTGGAAGGCTATTCCATGCATCCACTACCCTCTCAGTAAAGTAATACTTCCTGATATTATTTTTAAACCTTTGTCCCTCTAATTTAAGACTATGTCCTCTTGTTGTGGTAGTTTTTCTTCTTTTAAATATAGTCTCCTCCTTTACTTTAGTTCCCTTTGATTGCACCGGAATTTCTATAAAATAAAATATATACCTTTTTTTTTAACCAAAATTCTATCTTTATGAAAAATTGGGATGGGGCATTACTGTTTTAAGGGGACTTTTTAGGCACCTGATCTATGATCATATAAATGATAAAGCATCTTGGAATAATCTTACAGATTTTTCTGGTTGCAGCAATATCTCTGGAATGCAAGTATCCAATCCGCTTGAAGGAACACTGTAGTGTTAGGAATACAAACATGTATTTACGTGGCCTGCCTGCTCTGAATGGCATTAAAAGGTATTTAACTTACCTTTTCTCCCACGCCGTGCTGCACTCGCCGTGGCTGGCCCTGCCTCCATGGCTGAGATCATCAATCTTGATAATCTCAACCAATTCAATTATTTTCCATAGGAACGCATACGCAGCAAAATGCTGCACTTATCTGAATCTCCTCAAAGAGATGCATTGAATCAATGCATCCCTATGGAAATCGTTCAGTGTTACCATGCAGAGTGTGGAGATGCTGAACATAGGTCCTGCAAAGACTGCAGGACTTAACCCAGAAGGTCCCTCTATTTGCTGAGTGACAGCCGCTAAAGTTGTTACTAGGCAGCAATGTAAACACCGACTTTTCTCTGAAAAGGCAGTGTTTACAATGTTAGGCCTTCAGGGACAGGTTATAGACAACAGAACCACTACATTAAGCTGTAGTGGTTCTGGTGACTGTAGTGTCTCTTCAACCATACTTGTGAGTGACTTCTGACATAACAAGCTCTGCAGAGTGCCTTGTTATTATTACTACTGTTATTATTAGTTATCAGTAACTGTTATTGGGGATATAAAAAGTCAGACCTTCAAGGTAAAATTACATCAGTAACTGTAATGGTTAAAAAAGCCCTCCCGGGAAAGCACTGATTCAATGCTTTCCTATAGGTAGGATTGTATGTGCACGCACTCACGAGCATTAGGTCCTCACTACTCCTTTACAAGTAGGTTTGATTGGACCAACAATGGCAAGAGGATGAGAGGAAAAAGCTAATTAAAAACATTTTTCTTATTACTTTTGTGGCACACAGGGAGGGCTGCTATGATACTAAGATAGGGACACAAAAGCTTTAGGGTTTGGAATACAAGTTTATTTTGCTAACGCTTTAGAGTTCCTTTAATTACAAAATTTTCCAATTAGGTCACGCTGGTGGTAGATGTCATAACATAAATTCACAGCTAGAACCCAGGTTTGCATGTGGAGAAAGTACATAACAAACAAATGCAACAATCTGCACACACCTACATAGTAATCCACCTAGCAAAAGGATGAATTGTATCCATTTTATGACACACACACAGAGTGATGCAAGTATTTCTTATGCATAACCACGATCATTCCTCTTGCTCCCCAGCCTTCTTTTCCAAAAAGGCATACACAATTTCTAGTCATTGTTGATTAATATATAAGGAAATAATAGAAAATGAAGAGAGGTGAAATAATACATTACAAGGAAAGCTGTGTGTATAAAGTATGTGTTGATTTTGTCAGTACTGGTTGTATGTTCTGTGTCTTATAGTTGTTATGTGGGATTTGGATGTGACATGGCTATTATGAGAACAATATACATGTTATGGCTGGCATATGAATAGTCTGGAGTTCAAAATGGTCAGTTGTTACAAGAGGTATCAGGGGGAATTGGAGGTAATTGTCAGAGAGAATTGGAGGATAATTGTTGTACGTAATGCTAGCAGAAGATGTGTGGTTGCCATGGATGTATTACAACATTCCGACATGGATGCTGTGAATAATGGGTGCTGTTGAAGTGTCATGATGTCTGGTTATGGCAGTTTGATACAAGCACCAGACTGAACTTGTCAAACCCCGAAATCAATCACTTTACAACTGTGTCCTTTTTGAACTAATGTGAATAAATAAAGCATAAATGGCGTCATACAATATATATTGTGTAATACATGATCATCCCAAATCATTCACACAGATCTTTTACAATTTTTATGATGGATATTGTGCTGTTCTTGATTCTTTCTCGTACCTTTGCAAGATGGCCAAGATGGACGCCAAGAAATAGCGAGTAGTTTTCGTGTCACTTTAAGAGCCAGTTAACCTCTTCATAACCAACCAAACTTTGGTAAATCCATTTTACCATTATTTATCTTTGTTCTTGGTGGGGCTACGGATTAGGTTACATAGATATTTGTGTGATGAAGAAATAAAACAATAATGTCAGCTATTTCATAAAAAAACTGTTAGTCTTTCTCCCCTGAATATAGCACATGGTCCAACAGCACAATAAAGTCTATGCAGCAGGACATAAAGTCTAACAAATCCTACCTGCTAGGGACTCTATGGGCTTGTCTCAGTTAGTTCCTGAAAATGTATCTGGTGGTTTAATTACTAAATTATTGACTCAGTCAACCCAAGTGTTTCTTGAGCTACATTACCCATGATGCTAAGACAGCCTTAACGCTGGATGTGCATTATGGGAAATGAAGTATGAGCATACATGGTACTCTAAAGCGTTAGCAATACAAACTTGTATTCAAAACTATGTAATTCCCCTACTTTAACCCTTTGTGTCACTATACCCCACTCCCTCTAGCATGTAAGCTCATCGAGCAGGGACCTCAACCCCCTCTGTTCCTGTACGTCCAGTGGTCTGATCTCAATTATGTGTCTGTTAGTCCACCCATTGTACAGCGCTACGGAATTTGTTGGCACTATATAAATAATAAAATAATAATAATGACATGGGAAGCCATAGCAAGCCACTGAGGCAATGACATATTTTAAAATGCGACAACAAAAACTGGAAAAGCTGGAAAAATCGCCAACTACACTAAGCTAAATTCGTTTTTTTTGCAACTTAGCTGTTTTTGACTCTCACTACAGGTTGCTGTTTAGTATACAAACCCCCAGGATGTATACAGGACAAAATGAGGTTTTATCATGTTAAGAATGCACACTAGTGATGTCCCGAACTGTTCGCTGCAAACGGTTCGCCGCGGACTCCAGTCAGCTGACACATTCCAGCCAATCAGCAGCAGACCCTCCCTCCCAGACCCTCCCACCTCCTGGACAGCATTCATTTTGAAGCTGCATTCTTAGTGAGCTGTCCAGGAGGTGGGAGGGTCTGGGAGGGAGGGTCTGCTGCTGATTTGCTGGAATGTGTCAGCTGACTGGAGTCCGCACGAACTGTTCGCGATGAACCGTGGCGAACAGTTCACGAACCGTTCGGCGAACAGTTCGGGACATCACTAAAATTTGCACACTTCAAATTAGGTCAGGGTAGCAACCTTCAGTAGGCTTCACTGGACCTTCATTGGTTGCCGTTGCTTGACCACCAATGAAATCCCAGATCTAATTTTTAGAGCTTACAGTCAAACAGTAGCAATAAAGGCTGATGTGAGTAGTAGCTCAAATGCCTTAGGGTTACTGTTTCCCCATCCCTTTTTAAATGTTCTGCTAAAATCACTGCAGTAGTACTTTCATCCAAATATATTTTTTTTATCTTAGTGTGGCTCAGACACACAAATTAAATTATTGAGTTCTGAGACAGGCATTCACTGTGCTGCCAATGTCCTGGTTTACAGCACTCCGCAAGCAGTAGTTACACAACTTTTTAAATAGCATATCTATTCAAAAGCTGTTGATTGTATGTATTCTACTTTTTTTTTTGGGGAGGTTTGCGGAGACATTGCTTTTTATTAATGCTTGAATAATAAAATATCTTCTCCTTGAGACACGTAGTGGATTTACCATCAACTATTTAAGTTCAACAACCTGGATACTTAAGTCAGTTTCCTTCAAAAGGAAATAAATACAACTCTGAAAGTTCAAGTTACTTTCCATCAAAGTGAGCAATAAATACTAGTAAAATATAAATCACAATAAATACAAACAAGATTCCAAATGGTTCCGGTTAGGACTTTATTAGGATAGTCCCCTACTGTATTGCGCGGCACTATCACTTAAAATATAAAAGGACAGCAGAGGGTCATATCAGAATCCTTTTCACCTTAGTATTTGATAATACCAGAACATATATAAATACAAGACGGACTCCATTCAACTTAATTGTTAAAGTATCAAAAATGTCCGAATAAAAACGAATGCATGAGGAAATTGATTTATACATTTCGGTAAGCAAATACACTATCCTAAAGAGGAATTAGAAAAGCACTCACACAGAATTAAAACCGGTCCTAACATTATAATCCGCAGTTAGGTTACCATTGCAAATAACAAAATTCTAAAACAACATATATATGTGTCCATATACATTCTATATTCTAGAAAAGACAACTAGATACACCATTAGCAGTGGATACAACAGACAAGTAGGTATGTGGGTGGGTGGGTAGGTAGGTATATAAATATTTATAAAACATGCACAGAGTTGTTGCCTTGAAGTTATTTTTGAACTAGACGAGTGTAAAAGGAACTTAAATAAATGATATAATGTTCAGCCAAAGCATCTGCGATTTTCATATTTGTTGCTTTAATGAGTTAACCTGGGAGAGCACATCTCGGTCTATACCACTTCTATTGCCCTCCCTACAATCTAAGCATCTTTAACATACAAACCAACTCTGTGGTCACTTCACCACATCACAGCATCATTCGCTCTTCCCAAATCCCCCTCCCCTCTACATCATACTCCCGCGGTACCACACACAAAATCATATAGCCGCAGTCAGACACCGCTCCAGGGGGTAAGGGGGCGGAGCAGGAAAGGGTGCTGTTTTTATTACCCTGCTGCCAACTCCTCCTTTGAGTTCACCTCGTCTCACCTCCTGTTCTCCCCAACAACCCTTTCTCCCTTCTCCTCCCCCATAAAAAAAAATATTAATGCAAGAGGTAAGATGATGAATGAGAGAGGTGACTCCTGTTGGTAGACTTGCGAACTGCATCCCCTGGATGATATTGAAATGATGCCCTGTACTATTACTTTATAAAAACTATTAAATAATATGATTCCTCGTCCATAAACTGATTCAGAGATAAGATCATGATTATCAATATTATTACCGTAATTGTTTGCCACTGCGTAAATACAGACATTGAATAGTTATTCAAAATATGACAACAATATAGCAATAATTAATTACTAATTTCTGATCCTTCTTCAAGGATTGCTTAACAGATGCCTTAACTGTTTTCTTTAGATTGGCAAAGCATTATGGGAATGTAGTTCTTCAACAATTAAAGATATCTGTTCCACACTCTTGAGTGCAGAAGGAGTTAAGTTAAACTACAGGGATGTGCCTCTGAGACAACTAACTACTAAAGCTATGCCCTTGATAGGGCAGGAGGGGGATTAATTAAGCAAATCTCATTTGATTTATCTGGCATGAAATTTTAAGTCTTCAGTTTAGCAGAGATGAGCTTGATTCCTTAATGTACTCGGCAAAAGAGTTAGATAGCGACTTTTAAATAGTTTGAACTGGCATGGGATTAAAGTGATGAGAAATAGGGACGTATAATAGAAAATGTCACTGTAAAGTCTCTGAAAGCCCAAAAATAGTTAAGACAATTCTATAATTAATAACATACTGCTGTGCAGAAATATTTTTGTCAGTGCAAGCGTTAAAAAGAAAGGATCAGGCGTTTCCATGTAATCGAAACAGCGGGTTTAAGTGTTCAAGGAAAATAAAACCAGATAGTGTAGAGGAAAGTGATGAGAAGAAAAAGAAATGTGATTTCCTGGTGTTCAAGGTTGTGAAGGGGTCAAGAAGTCAAAGTTGACCAAGACTCTACTTTTGAGGTTAATACCAACTTACTGATCTAAGGTATAGCAGGCAATGCCTGCCTGCACAGATCTGAAATAAAGACGTGTAAAGTTTTCCAGCTCGGGTGCACACTGTATAAGGGTCTGACTCCAGCAACACACCATTCAGGGGTTAAAAAGACGCCAGGAAGCCGCAATTCAAAACAAAGAGTAAAGAAAAAGTCCATGGCATCTCCTAGACAGTGCTACATGCAGGGAAAGGGAATTGTTTTAAAAAAAAAAAAGAAAAGAAAAGAACAAAAAAAAAAAAAAAAATGAAGCTGAACCGGGTAACGAAAGAGAAAAAAAGACAGAAATAGAAAAGCGTACAACAAGAAAAAGTAAAAGAGAAAGTGGTTAATAGAGTATAATAAGTGGTTAATAGAGTAGGAAGGAGAAAGGAAAGACTGAGAAGGAGAAGGAGTATATAAGGAAAGGACAAATAAAGTAAGCGATTAAAACAAGTAAAAAAAATTTAAACTAACTAAACAGCAGCTGGGAACTCACTGATAGAGTTAAACACTTCTCATCTGGTGGTATCATTTCTCTGTCAATCAAAGGGTTAATAAGGAAAAGGCAACGAAACACTGTCAGCAATACACTGAGAGATGACAGCCGTGACCTCTGCCCTTCCTCAGCCAAACTAAAAAGCGATGTGTCAAGAGGTGTCTGCCCTCACTCCAGACCAGAGTGGGCACAGATGACCAGAGGGGCAGGAGAGCACAGAACTGGGAGGAGAGGGACATGGAAAGGGCACCAGCCGAGTTCAATTAAAGAAGGGAGAGAAAAAAATCTCTAACTTCCTGAGATGAGAAATCTTCTCTCCTCCCTCTAAAATCCCCTTTAAAAAAAACTTTACAAAAAAAAAAACAAAAGAGTTCCCCCCCTTCCCTCCTCCCCACCACTTGTATAGATAATGACTGGACACTCACCTTGTCCACAAGCAGTACCTCCAACAGTGAAGATCATCAAGAGTACCTGGCTGTCTGCATGTGAGTGTCTGTGTCCGTCGTCACACAGCACAGACAGCGTGTGTGTGTATGTGTGTGTATGAGTGATCTCGCCTCCTCTCCTACTTACACTACCAACTCATTACAATCTGCTATTCATAACCCAGGTCATGTGACTCCACTCACAAAATATAAAGCACATTTTTTTTCTCTCTGCACAAACCACAGAATGAATTTCAGTGGAAAACACAGAAAATGTATTTTGCCCTTCGTCTGCCTGTGCCATTACAGGAAATGTAAACTATAATCTCCTGCCACAGAGAATAACTCATGCTTTTAGGCACATACAGCTACGTAACTTTGTATCTCACCTGTGCTTTCCCATTCTGGTTTGTTAGCTTTAAAGAAACAGGATTCTCTATATGCAGTGTATCAGTGTGCTTACTTTACTTAAATGTATTTGAGCACTTTATAAATAAAAATAAAACTACATGATTTTGCTATTTCTTGACGAAAAGTAATGATTTTATGAAAGACATGGAGGCGAGTATTGTGCTTAAATAAAATTCTGAATTTATCTTTGCATGATTCTCTCTCTTTCAATATAAAAAATATATAGAGAATGCACTAAATGATTGTATACAATGATTAAACAATTTGTGAAGCAGGGAATGACATGATATCACATTAACTTTATGCCCCCCAGCTTAACACAGATGCTTGTAACGTCATTCATGACAAATATACCTTTATGGAAAGCAGAATTTAGGAACTGCTTTCTTGATTACACATCTATTTACTGATGTCTCAGTTTGCATACTTTGGGGTTTATTCATTAAACACTGAATTGTAATTAACGGAAAAATAAATTACAAAATTAAGGCAAAATTAGTCAAGCTACGGCAAGTCGAAATAAAGGATTTTTCTAACCTGACACTTTTTTGGTTTGGTTTTCTATTTACTACAATCCTGTGTTTAGTGATTAACCCTCTTTGTGTTTTATGTCTTATTTTTAAGTTCACTATTTCTTTTATTGCTGTCTTTAAGTTATTTAATTTGATATATCCATGTTTGGGATATTTATGCAATATTTGCACTTGTGGGACGCCGCAAGTCTTCACATTCTCATTGTTTGCCACATGCAAATGAGCGAAGAAAGTGGGTATTTTCCAGTCACTTGTTTTGCTTTAGCAAAGTTTTTGTACTGATTTAATTTACATAGTTTTTCGGAAAAATATAAATCGTTGTAAGGAAATATACTGCAATTCCTATTATATTATTTTATTCAAATAAAATCTGAAATTGTCTATAGTTGTCTAAAGTGAAAAGTCTACAGTCTTTTCATTTTTGTATTTTCGTAAAAGACATTAAAACATGATACCAACTATTATCTCCAGTTTCATTAATTAAATACTTAGCAAGCAAAAAAATTATTCAAATGT